CCGGCGCGCTTCAAATCGTCGATCTTCGCCGCTGAATTTTTATTTCTCTTGAGGCTTGAGCTTTTAGTTTCTTCTGTCCATTTGTCGGGATGTAGATGGGTCGCCCGGTGTTTTAGTTAGGGGGAGCTCTTCGGTGCATTCTGGTTTCAGAATGTTTTGGTACATTCTACAAGCTGCAAATTATAACCGGAAGACATTCCAAGTAAGAATTTTGTTTAGAATTTCATTTCAAAAAATTGCAAAGTGAACCCTGAAGAATAATTAAAAATGTATATACGTCTTTTTTCACATTTTGGATACTCGCATTTTTTCCTTCAAGAAATCCAATCGTCGTCTCCTTCATCTGATTTATATCTTCATCTTCACTTCTAACAGGAGTAACAACAATTGCCATAGAAATCCGATCGAGAATCTGGCCAGATCAAAAATCTGATTAAGATATAATTTATGAGCGTCTCCTCCTTCCTCGAGTAGCTGACGTGCACTTTGTCGTGTGTGCACTCAAAATAAATCAATACTAGCACTAATACGTAGCATAGTGAAGTAGAGTTCGTATCCACGGGGAAAGGAATAACTCTCTTTTTATAGAACTCGTAAATAAAGGGGAGGTTTTGATTGAGTGATTTAATTAATTTAAACACAAAGATGAACGACTTATGTGGTTTACTTAAAGATAAAAGGGACTTGGCATTGCTACTTTCCACTTGTTGATATATTTTAGTCGATCATTGTTATATCTATAACTTGTCTCCTCTCGAATACTCAATCGAGAAGTATATCCAATTCATCGAGGATAATTATTAACAACGACCGTTCATTAATAACCCTTACTATTAGCCAAGTATAGAACACCGCCATATACCGACTTCATAGTAGCATTTAATCGCTTAACTCCTTGATGAAATCAATTGAGATTGATAACCTCAACACAACGGTTTCGGTTTAACCAACACAATTAATTCCTCTTAAGTTTATTAACCACGACCGTGCATTAATAGACCGAAGTTACTTACTTGTGAAACCATCAACGATTAACCATCGGTTCGTTGATCGTTTCTAGTAATAATTAATATATGAAACAAAACTAGTTGATCCTTTAAGTAATGTTCAAAATATTAATATGAAATATGAATAGGAATTAATTAATACTCAAGGAAGAATATTAAAGAAGATGAATCCTACTATAGTTAATATCAAGATGTTAACTAATTGTCATCTTAGTAACACTCCCCAATATTAACATAGAGGAAGAAGAAATCTCAAACACTAATCCCAAAAAACCAACAGAACATACTTGCCATGACAAAGCTATCCAAACCAGTGTCATAACATATGACACCTTCCCCTTCCCAAAACCATTCATCTCCCCCTTTAAATTCCTCCATTCCCCGCTACCAAAAAGTCCAACCACGCAGCAGCAATTCGCAATGAATGATAGGTAAACTTGCATGTTCAAGACCACAACAAACGTTTCCCTCTTAATCACCTTCTTGAACAACAGCTCCTGGATAAGCCTGAAGCTACTATACATATTGAACAAATACTTCATATGTTATCTAGACAAAAGTCACATTTGAGTGATAAGAATAATAAAAAAACATTTTAAGTCCTAGTCAACCCAATCAAGATCTAAAGTTTTACAACTCATGAATGATCACTTGTGTTCCTAAAATATACTCAACATTTCATAGATTATTTGGATTATTTGCTTGAATGTGCTTGATCCCTGTACTTAAATAAATGAATTACAATTCTGCCATAATCTTTTCCGCTGAAAGTGTACAAAAACATTCATATTTATCTCTATCTTTGAATAAAAGGCAAATTTCAGTTCCTTGTTCAGAGATATTTTCCATCAATCTTTCATATAGTTGCGTATCTTTATTTCATAAGGCACAGTAACAAGAATTGTTAACTACATTTCAAATCCATATAGATCATCGCAGTGTTGAAATGACTAAACCCATTTAGAAATCTTCCAAGGTGTTATACTCATTCCTAGTAACCCTCTAATCCCTTATTGAACCTGTCCGAGTCAACTGCCTAGAGCTTTTGGCCTTATTGAACACCAGCCTCAATAAAAAAAATAAGTTACACATCATTAAAGTTGAATAGGCATACAATTGTACAATTGAAATTATCATCTTTTTATAAGTTTATAGATAAGACAGACATGAATTACTTACAGTCATATTTTTATGTGTATATAGGCCAAAATTTTATGTATTTTACACAACTTAATAAGAATAGGATCCATAAACTAGTGTATGTAGGCCAAATTCATGTAATTATCATCTTCAGATTAACAATGAATAACACTAATAATATCAATACCAAATATCAATATTCCTCTCAAATTAAAATTCACCATACTAACACACAATTTACTAAAATGATTAAGGGATTGGGAAAAATGGCTACATAACCATAAAAAATAGGTCAAGTGAAGTCAATAGCATCTATTTTATTTAATGAAGTAGATAACGCTTTTCTTACTAATATAAAATAGGTAAACATGTAAATACTGTATCTATCCTCAAACCTAATTACAGTTGGTTACAACTTACAATGTTATACCGCATATCAATTTTGTTTTCGTAATGGCTAAATTCACGATGGGAGAATAAGTAGAAAAAACTCAAAGTCTCTTTTGCTACCCTAGATTTTAAAAGAACAATACAAATAATTTATTCAAAAAGCACTAAAAACTCCATTTATTACCGGAATGTCAGGAACTTTTTCAAGGAGCACTATAATTCCAATTTTACATATGATCAAATGTATACTCCCTATATTTTTTGTTTTATGTCTTTTCTACTTATGAGAATGGAATTATGGAAGTGAGTAACCCCCAGAGACAAAAGTGGAAATATTAAAGCACACCCACTTCAAATATATTTAAGTATTACGTATCCATTTGACCCTAAGAGCAAATATGATTCACTTGAATTGTTTTACATCAAAATGGTTGAGAATTAAAAGTGAATATAGTGCTTTCTCCATAGAGGTGCAGTGCCAACTTTTGAGGAAGGAAGGTACGGATTTAGCGGGATAGTTAGAGTTCGAGAAGGAAACCGTCATAAGGTTATATGGGGCATAACTTAATCTTGGGTTTTCTTAAGGGCTATTTAGTTTATTTTTAGTAACTCATGATATTAACTTAAAGTTACACATTAAAATGTGTACATACACCCAATTTTCTCAATGATGGGAATTAATAGATACTAACCTTGAGAGAAGCTAAGGTGGAGATGAAGAGAGCTCGCACCGGCCTCCTACAGCGGACGATGAATGAACAACGGCAGCAGGCTTCGACCATTCAACCAAGACGTGGAGGCAGATGTCAAACGAGCGGTGGCGGCGCAGACTTCGAGTGAGAAACAGCAAGATGTCGAACGATTGACGGCGGCGGCTGCGACGGACGAGATGTGGTGACAGACGAGTTGCGGCAGAGAGGGGTGTGGATTTGGATCGATTTGGGTGACGGCTACTGATATGTACTAATTAGTAGTGCAGCGTATGTTTTTATATTTTATGATTTAGTTTGTAAACATTTGTGTGATTTTAGTTGTAATTGTATTTTAATCTTCATTTGTAAGTTGTGAAGTAGAGTTAGGAATTAGGATGTTGAAAAGGAGGACTTTGAAGTGAAGAAAAATAAGATTTAGCTGCCCAGAAGCAAGAACCCGACCGGGTACAATACTTCACCCGGTCGGGCATGACAAGAAATCAAAAGCTGCTGAGAAAGTCACTTGACCCGGTCGGGTCCCCTACTTGACCCGGTCGGGTCAGACTTGACCCGGGACACCAGAACGTGCCGAAGATCACCAGAACGTGGAGGATATCTGATTTTGACTGGACCCGGTCGGGTAGGGACCTAACCCGGTCGGGTACCCGGCCCAAGGTGTTGAAAAACGCCTATAAATAGCACACTTTTCCTTCACAAATAATCATCCCTTCTTCTAAACTCTTAAACTCAGTTTAGAATAGTATTTCTTTTATATTTTTATAGCATGTTTAGTCTCCAAATGAGGAGCTAAACTTCCATTTCTTGGCGTTGCTCTTGAAGCTTGTTGATTATTAAAGTTGTGAGTTATTTTCTTAACTTCTTTCCTTGAATATGAAAATTAGTTAACATCTTGACATTAGTTATAGTAATAGTTATTTCTTCCTCTATGTTAATATTGGGGAGTGTTACTAAGATGACAATTAGTTAACATCTTGATATTAACTATAGTAGGATTCATCTTCTTTAATATTCTTCCTTGAGTATTAATTAATTCCTATTCATATTTCATATTAATATTTTGAACATTACTTAAAGGATCAACTAGTTTTGTTTCATATATTAATTATTACTAGAAACGATCAACGAACCGATGGTTAATCGTTGATGGTTTCACAAGTAAGTAACTTCGGTCTATTAATGCACGGTCGTGGTTAATAAACTTAAGAGGAATTAATTGTGTTGGTTAAACCGAAACCGTTGTGTTGAGGTTATCAATCTCAATTGATTTCATCAAGGAGTTAAGCGATTAAATGCTACTATGAAGTCGGTATATGGCGGTGTTCTATACTTGGCTAATAGTAAGGGTTATTAATGAACGGTCGTTGTTAATAATTATCCTCGATGAATTGGATATACTTCTCGATTGAGTATTCGAGAGGAGACAAGTTATAGATATAACAATGATCGACTAAAATATATCAACAAGTGGAAAGTAGCAATGCCAAGTCCCTTTTATCTTTAAGTAAACCACATAAGTCGTTCATCTTTGTGTTTAAATTAATTAAATCACTCAATCAAAACCTCCCCTTTATTTACGAGTTCTATAAAAAGAGAGTTATTCCTTTCCCCGTGGATACGAACTCTACTTCACTATGCTACGTATTAGTGCTAGTATTGATTTATTTTGAGTGCACACACGACAAAGTGCACGTCAGCTACTCGAGGAAGGAGGAGACGCTCATAAATTATATCTTAATCAGATTTTTGATCTGGCCAGATTCTCGATCGGATTTCTATGGCAATTGTTGTTACTCCTGTTAGAAGTGAAGATGAAGATATAAATCAGATGAAGGAGACGACGATTGGATTTCTTGAAGGAAAAAATGCGAGTATCCAAAATGTGAAAAAAGACGTATATACATTTTTAATTATTCTTCAGGGTTCACTTTGCAATTTTTTGAAATGAAATTCTAAACAAAATTCTTACTTGGAATGTCTTCCGGTTATAATTTGCCGCTTGTAGAATGTACCAAAACATTCTGAAACCAGAATGCACCGAAGAGCTCCCCCTAACTAAAACACCGGGCGACCCATCTACATCCCGACAAATGGACAGAAGAAACTAAAAGCTCAAGCCTCAAGAGAAATAAAAATTCAGCGGCGAAGATCGACGATTTGAAGCGCGCCGGCGACTACCGGGAGCCGGAAGAGGTGATCCAGTGAGAGAGCTTTAGATTCGTTCCCAAATCTCCAATTTTCTCGATATTCAGGTTAATTTCGAACCCTAACTCATTAGTGTTTGAGTTTGTTGACTATCAAAAGTTCAATATTATTCCATCTTTGTAAATTATTATACAAGACCGCTAATTTATGATGGATTCATGGATGTTTCACTCTCTAGGTAATACTTTCTCGGATTTCATGTTGTATTTTCTGACCCTAATATATACAAGTATTTGTACATTACGTAGTACTTCATTATTTTTGAAGATATTTAGAAGTCCACTTTTCGAATTTCGAATTTTGAATATGAATACTAAATGGTAGCTGCAGGAAATTTGTTGGCCTTGAATTAGAATATTGAAGATGATTATATTGTTCTAGCTAGATGTTGTTCAAGAATTCCTTCCTATTGCATTGGAGCAATTTCATCTTCTTAGTATTTTTCCTTCCAATGTTTTTCTATTGGAACTTCCCTCATTCCTTTTGTAGAACATAATGATGCGAATTGAGCCTTAATGAGTTTTAATATGCAAGGCATGTTGAACAGGCACACTCTTTACATGTCAATTTTACCTTTTCACGCTTCCGTGCTACTTTGCCTACAAGTTTGGATCTACCTTTTTCTCAATACAAGAATAATAAAGAGATAAGTAAGTGTAGGATCAAAGCGCTTACCTTTGCACTAGAAGCAATCGAATGCCGAAGCCCAACATTAAGTTTTAAGGTCAATTCCATGTGAATTGAAGTAGTAGTTGTATTATTCATTTATTCAACATACACTTCATAGATGCTTATCAAATGTTTGTTCTTCATCACAGGCATTGAATCACACTAAATAGAAGTTGGAAAGATTTTCAAACATGAGTGGGTTGAAGAGGATCACATCAACTGTTCTTAAACTTCCACTTGAGATCCTCATTGATATACTCACTCGGCTTCCGTCAAAATCTTTATTACAACTGAGGTGTGTTTCTAAATTATTTTGTTTACTTATTGGGGATGATTCGTTTGCTGATCTTCATTACAGACGGTCCTTGACCCTTTGCCATGGGATGAGCATTCTCATCTCTTTTGTAACTAAAGCACGTCAGACCCGTGTGTATTATACAATAAATTTCACTGATGAAACCCGAGGAACTCTCAAGGCCAACCGTGTGCGATATTTTGATGAATGTCCAAAAAGTCATTTAGGGACATATGCCAAGGGCCTGATTTCGCTACTCACAAATTCAGGAGATGATGTAATCTGCAACCCTAGTACAAGACAACAAATTTCTCTTCCAAGAATATGTGTGAATAACAGTCTCCTTGAATCAAATTGTGAGCGGTTGGCTTTTGATCCAGTCTTGAAAAAATACAAGCTTTTGAAGTCTGTATGGTATTCTGAATCCGGCAATCGTATTGTTAATGGCATTGCCATCACTCATAGCTGGATGAGGCAATGGGTTTTTACTCTAGGAGTGGATCAATCATGGAGGGAAATAGAATGCATCCAGTTTTATCATGCTAATTGCTGTTTCCATCACTTCTTCCATAGTGTTCAAATTGATCGTATTATCTATTCATTTAATTGGAAGTTTGGTAGTTCACGTCCAGCGAATATAGCAGCATTTGATGTTTGTGCTGAGAGCACCCATATTATTTCTTTTCCGAATGACTTTTCATCACAATGCTCACATCGTATGAGTAGTGGTTTAATTATGAGGTCGGCATTAGTTGATCTGGATGGTCGACTGGCCATCCTTCATATTTCTAAAGTTGATGACCGTAAGTATAGTATGGTCATATGGAAGATGGAGAAATGTATGGTGTGGGAGCAGCTTGCAATTGCCATTCCATTGGAGGCGAGTCAAATGATTCATCGATGTCTCCTACGTGTTACTACAAATCATTTTGGAGAAGTTATGTTATTCTTAATAGGGAGAAGTAAAACCATATTCGTATTGGTTCTACTTTATAACTTCAAATCACAAGTTTGGAGAAAGTTGGATATACATGGGCTTCTAGATAAACCGTCTCCTTGTTTTTGGGACACGGCTGTCATGCACGTCATTGTAGACAATCTTTTTTCTGTTGCTGGAGGATCATCCAATCGCCCTTTGGCATATGCAGGCTAGTTTGTTGCAGAAGCCGCATGTTTAATTATATGCAGTAAACTTGTGGACATACTAAAGTTTCATCATGTATTTGTGCTTCCCATGGCTTGAAAATACTCCGTATGTGGCTCACAGGAGTCCTCGTTATATTTAATTTAAATTAAATGGTAGCATGCTACTTCTCCAACACAACTTTGCACTCCATAGTCTACACTCTTTACATGGTTGTACTCTATATTCGTGTTTTTATAAATATATTTTATAAAACTATTACTTATTACGTGTTCCCCCTGCCCTTCAAAATCCTTCTCACTTATCATTTTGGAATGTCCCAGAAACTTTCCATTTCCCTTTTTGTGGCTAACATTTATTCACTTTTTTCTTGCTCAATCACAATTATACATTTCTAGTTTATTTTCACTTTCTTAAACTGCAATCCAAGTAAAATTGAGAATTTTTTTGGGACAGTGGTTGGAAGTATTTGATTTGGCATAAAGTGTGACTGGGAAAAACCTCATCATATTTTAACTTTATCTAAAATTGAGTTTGTCAATATTGCAGAAGCTAATGAATTGCAATGAATAAAGCGTGATGTAGTACTATCAACGAACAATAAAAAATCAGATTATAAAAGATAGGGCCTCTCATATCTTGCGTATCATAATTCTATTTGAGTGTGTTTGAGCCCTTGAGGTTGTTTTTGGAAAGGAGGAATTCAGATATGTCAGGGTTGATGATCCTCCTCTTTGTGAAGGAATGATTTTGAAAGGTTTTTGTGACTCTTCAAAATTTCTCAAATGCTCAATTTTTATGTTCCTCCAAATGTTGGATTTTGAAGGATAACCAATTAGATGATAATTTAATCTCATTTTAAAATGAATATGAGTTCAATTATTTGAATTCATCATGTTTCACAAGTAGTTTTAATTATAATTCGTTCTAATTATAATCACAAGTAGTTTTAATTATAATTCGTTCTAATTATAATTCGTTCTACGCTTCATTCCCCCCCTAATATACTACTCTCCAAAAAGAAGAGTATCACATTCTCATCCCTTTCCCTTTCAAAACTTTCCCCTCCATATCCTCCCAAACAACCAAACAAACTCAAATAAACATGACACTGATTATTCCTATTTAGGGGTGGACTCGGGCCGGGCGGCCCAATCCAGAACCGGCCAGGCCCGGTGAACCGGGTGGCCGGCGGTTCGGTTCGACCCGACCCGGGGGTGGGCGGTCCAGGCTTGGGCCCTGCTTTTGGTGAACCGGCCCGGCCGGTTCGGGCCCGGTACGGGCCGGAATTTTTTTTTTTGAAATTTTTTTAAGTTTTGGGTTGGATTAGGTATTTTGGGCCATTTGAGGTGGTTTGGGGTTGAGGGGGAGGGGGAGGGGTAGGGGGTTAAATAAGAGAAGCAAAAAAAAAACTAAACCGGGTGGCCCGGCTCGGAACCGGGAACCACCGGTTCGGGCTCAGGCCTAGTATAACTGACCCGAGGCCCGGCCGGGCCCAGGCCCGAACTGGGCCCGAACCGGCCCGAGTGCACCCCTATTCCTATTTGGAGAGAAATATGATTGTCTTATTTTAGAATGTCAAACATTTTAGTCCTATTTAACGAATTTTCCCATAAAGTATTTACATTTTTACAAAGAGCAATTATGATCCCTAAATCCATTTCATCATGTGCTAGGTGAGAATAAAACCAAAACAATGCATCATTTTCAGTAAACACTCTATTTCCACATTTTGAATATAATTACCTTATCACCGTGAATCACATCAAGCACATCAGCTATTACATAAAACATTGAGATTAAGCTAGTCAAAGGTCTATAATATGAACCCCAATGGTGTATCACTCGCTTGTACCGATGACATGTTCACCCGCAATATATATGTATGTGTGTATATATATATATCAAAGGTCTATAATATGAACCCCAATGGTGTATCACTCGCTTGTACCGATGACATGTTCACCCGCAATATATATGTATGTGTGTATATATATACACACTAGCGGGTGCACGCGCGTTGCACGAGTATTCATGCCCGACGCACAAAATTAAAGGAAAAAGCATATGTCAGTGGATAGACCCCGAGCCTTAATGATGTGGCACTGGCTCACTTGCTACTTTAATCTAGAAATGACCAAGTGCATATGTCGATGGACAGACCCCGAGCCCATGGAGGTCGGGCTCGTGTTTGGGCTTACATTTTCACTTTTTGACTGAGATGATTATCAACTTTTACAAACAAAGCAAGCACCACACCAACACGAGGTCACCGATTTAATCAAAAGCAACACCATCAAGAATAAACTCATCAGTTCACCAAATATAATTTGAAGATAGGGGAGCTTTAAACAGAAAATCAAGCAAGGTGTAACTAAGTGCTGAATAAGATACATGAACAAACCTTTCTGATGTGTATTAACATGGTTCTTGTTAGCAGCTGGTCTGATCCTCATATGCCTACTTAAGCACACCACACAATGTATCTCAGTCAAGGCAAGTAATTGATCACTCTCATCCCCTAACCTGACAAATCCATAGCTCTTGGAAAGCCCAGTTTCCCTATCAGTGACACTTTTGCACCTTTTACCGAAAAATACAAGAATTTAAATGTTTCTAGAAGGCATTCATCATTCACTTCCGCAGCCAAATCTCCGACAAAGATGGTGAAATCTGGAGTACCATCACGCCTCTCGCCAGCTCCAAATGTTGCCTAGTTCAGCCTGCAGTTTTGATCAGAAATTGGCATGAGTGATCCATGATATGTTTGTAAGATATTATCTGCAGCTGCTTGACCCCGGAACTCGATAAATCCATAACCCTCAGGTTGACATGTGCTTGTGCGATGCCTGGCCTTGTGCATACCATGACGTACATCAAACTCCCAACTGCTGAAGAATATGGAACTGCTAACATCTCCCCGATCTCTTCCTTGAATGTAGGGCATGTTCTTTTGCTCAACTTGAAGTGATTCGCAAGTGGAACACTTACTGGTTTGGCATCATTCATGATGAATCTCTCAAGTACTCGTTCAATGGACTTCTCCTAAGATAGCCATAACTTGCGATTCTTCCTGTCTCGAGTGATCTGCATCTCAAGAATCTGTTGAGCCGATCCTTAGTCTTTCATATCAAAAGACTTAGAGAGTTCTTTCTTCAGCTGGTTTATCTTCACTGCATCTTTCCCAACGATCAACATGTCGTCTACATATAGTAGAAGAGCAATGAAAGTACTGTCTGGAAGTTTCTTAATGTATACACACTCATCCGGAGTAGTCTTCTTGTAGCCTTGACTCTTCATGCATGAGTCAAACTTCTTATTCCACTGCCTTGGTGCCTGCTTCAAGCCATACAAACTCTTAGATAATTTACACACAAAATTATCATTTGAGTTCTCAAAACCTTCCGGCTGCTGCATATAGATTTCTTCTTTCAAATCTCCATGAAGAAATGCTGCCTTCACATCCATCTGTTCAAGCTCCAAGTTCATACTTGCTGCCAAGCCAAGTATAACTCGGATTGAGGTCATCTTGACAAATGGTGCAAAGATGTCATCAAAGTCAATTCCTTTCTTCTGCTGGAACCCTTTGACAACCAACCGAGCTTTGTGTTTCACCACTTGTCCGCTTGCATCCTTCTTCAGCTTGAACGCCCATTTGTTCCTCAGAGCTTTCTTCTCTTTAGGAAGTTCTACGATCTCGTAGGTTTGATTTTTCTGCAAAGATTCTAACTCATCCTGCATTGCTATTAGCCATTTTTCTTTGTCCTTATGAGATACAGCTTCTTGAAAACTCTCTGGTTCTCCATTTCAGTTAACAAAAGATATTTAGATGATATGTACCTTGTCGATGGTATATGCCGTCGTTCAGATGTACGAACAGTAGGAACCATCTGAGAAGAGCTACCATCATCTGTGTCTAACGAGGTGGGTTGTGTCTCCCCTTGCTCTGCACTCTCTTCCGTCTCCTCATCTTCTTCTGCTTCTGAGTTATCTTCCTACACTTTGTCTTCTTCTGGTGCTTCATTTGAAACTCTAGCACCATCATTTGACTTCCAAGACATTGTGGGTTTTTCAATGTCTTCTATTGTCAAATCTTCATGGAACACAACGTCCCGACATCTGAACACCTTTTTCTCCTTAGGATCCCATAACCTGTATCCAAACTCTTCATTTCCATAGCCAACGAAAATGCATGGGATTTTTCTTGCATCAAGCTTCTGCCTGAGCTCCTTAGATACATGTGCATATGATGAACAACCAAATACTCTAAGATGTGAGTATGTATGTAGGATCCTTACCTGTCCATTGCCTCTCTGGAACTTCAAAATTCAGTGGTACTGAAGGTGATCGGTTGATAAGATAGCATGCGGTGTTGACTGCTTCTCCCCAGAATGACTTCGGAAGTTTAGCCATATTCAGCATGCTCCGGGCATGCTCCATGATAGTTCGGTTCATTCTTTCAGCAACGCCGTTGTGCTGAGGGGTGTGTGGTACTGACTTCTCATGTCGAATGCCATATTTTCTGCAATATGCATCGAACGCCTTGGAAGTATACTCGCCTCCATTATCAGATCAGAGACATTTCAGTTTCTTTCCTGTTTCACGTTCCACCAAGACATGAAATGTCTTGAAGCTCTCGAAGACCTGATCTTTCGTCGTCAGGAAATACACCCACACTTTCCGAAAAGCATCATCGATAAAAGTCAGAAAATATCTGCTTCCACCGATTGATTCCACCTCGAAAGGACCACAGACATCGGAGTGTACCAAACTTAACAACTCTGATCTTTTAGTTGAAGTAGAACTAAATGATACTCTATGTTGCTTACCAAACAGACAATGACTGCAAGGACCCAGTGCAGCGTTCTTGTCGATGTTGATAAGGTTCTTCTTCATCAAGGTAGTCAACCCTTTCTCACCGATGTGGCCGAACCTCAGGTGCCACAGATCCTGAGAAGTCTCCTTTGCAATGTTGAGGCTATCCGTACAAATCCTCAAATGGGTTTTGTACAATGTGCCACAAACATGTCCTCGAGTGATTGTCAAAACGCCCTTTGACATTTTCCAGGTGCCCCGGTTAAAGTGGTTTTATACCCCTGTTCGTCAAGACATACCACAGATAGGAGATTGAGCCGAATGTCTGGAACATGTCTGACATCCTTCAAAGTGATTGTGCTCCCAGTACTCGTCTTTATTTGTACATCACCAATTCCAAATATTCCAGAGGAACT